ACAGGTGTTCAGCTGGAGCTTGCACCCTGTGAGGGATCGGAGATCACAGGTGTTCAGCTGAAGCTTGCACCCTGTGAGGGATCGGAGATCACAGGTGTTCAGCTGAAGCTTGCACCCTGTGAGGGATCGGAGATCACAGGTGTTCAGCTGGAGCTTGCACCCTGTGAGGGATCGGAGATCACAGGTGTTCAGCTGGAGCTTGCACCCTGACCCTTTACGCACTGAAATTCCTCTAGATTACTTGAATTGTTTAATATTATGCACTATAGAGGGAGGAATATGCAAATCCCTTCCAATATTTCTTTGATGAACATTGTTTTTAAGCATCAATAATTTTCTCACACATTTATTGACAAACCGAAGATCCTCTGTCCATTTTTGCTCCCTAAAGCGCCTCACGGATGCTGCTTTTGTACCAACTCATGATTAAAATCACCTGCTTTCATCACCTCCTTGAAATCACATCATTATTATTATTATTATTTTTACCTCATTACTAGCCCTAAATTGGCCCCGTCCCAACTTTTTTGGAATGTGTTGCAGGTCTGAAATGCAGGGGTGGATGTATGGAATTCGACAGAATATAGGGTTTAATATAATACTAATATTTTATGAAAGCTGCAGGCAGGACATACCCTCACGTACACTTCAGAGAAACTTATCACCCTCACTGCCTGTCTTCAGACTGCTAGAGGAAACCCAAACTGAACATGTGGGATTCAAATCTTTATGCTGGATGTGTGAGGCAACAGTATGGTGCACTGAGTCACCATAGGACCCCCGAGATAAAAAAGCATCCAAAAATACTGAGGAAGTGTGTGGCTCAGTGGCTTACAACACTGTGCTTGTGATGAAAAGGGTGTTGGTTTGAATCCCATGGTTAACCTCAACTGCTTCAGGGACTGGCTGCCCCAACTTTGAGGATGGTGTGTGGGTTAGTAGGCTACACTGTGATTAGAAGGTCACTCTGTGTCATGTTTAACCTTCTCAAACGAACATATTACGGTGAGTTACAAAAAACTACCGTATTATATAGAAGGACGCTGTCTCCCGGTAGTTAAATATAGTTAAACAAACGCGGCGTTTTCACAAACCATTTTTTTTCTTGGGCTATTTTGGAAAGTGAGATTCAACACACTACAGCTCGATATAAAAAATGACTGCCTAGACAATATAACAGGGTCCCTGTAAGGAAAAAATGAAGTACAGAGCTGAAATGAGTCACTTAGGAAAGACGTTATTGCTGGCGAGTGAGCGATCCAAAAACTGACAGGCAGGTGCTGGGATATTATGCAACAGGAATGTGTAGCAAGGACAGCTAAGGGGTATATGATAGATTATAATCATTCACAATCCGGGCAGACAGACGCTGCATTTATGTAACATCTATAGCAGGCAGGCAGTTGCAGTGTCTATGGCATGTGAATATTTATAAAAAGTATGTAAGTTATATATTAGTATTTCATCTGTACTCCTGTTGCTTCATTTTCGAATTTTATTAAACGTATAAAGATGCATAATTACAGTTTACCGGAATAAATTGATTTGTATTGTGCAACGCACCCATGTATTTCTATAACAAGACATTCCGACTGTTTCAGTTAAACGTCAGTTATAATCACGACTGGACATCCCATACCGCTATCAGAAATTATTATTATTATTATTTAATTTCCTGTAGCCTTTCCACCTCTAATATCTCAAACGGGCGATTGCGATGTTTGTTCGTTAGACAACGCTGAGTTAGTGCTTAGGTTTGGTAATATCACCCCCGGCAGCAGACACTAATACATATTCAGGAAACTGGGTACAGCCCAGCTGAGAGAGTATTATCGATATAAAGATTTTATTACTTCCACTCCGGTTTCGTTTATCGTCTTGTCAAGTGTAATTCCGTCCAGACGAGCAGACCTTTCGTCACCGGTTTCCCTTATTGGAAAATCCCGGTAAGTTTCTGGGTTTAGTACGGAACTTCTGTTTTTGCTGTACTAATATGAATTTTATTCGACATCGAAAATCAGTTACTTTCCTGTGTATGATGGAGATGTAAAGGATTTAGGTCACGTGCATGCATTTAAGCTGTAAAATAAAAGCAATATTATAAAATGATTAAACTACAATCCGAAACAATAAGTGACATTGCATATTGCTCTAGTTAAATTAAAACAAATTTTAAATCGTCATATGCAACTTCAGATGTAGTTGGGATTTCTTCTAAAATTGATCATACATAAGTTACATATCTTGTAAGATTGTAAGAAGTTGTAAGTTGTAAGAAGTTTTGTTAACACTTTACTAGAGGGCGCACATACATTCTTACATGTTTGATTAACCAGAAACTGTTAGTTACATACTGGTCCCATGTTCGTTCATCATTAATCAGTCATAACAGTTTATGTAGCTATTTAATGCCTTTACTATAGTTGTTCATGATTTGGGCTTAAGTAGTAACTGTAACTGTTATTTGCGTCCCCTCAAGTAAAGCGTTACCGAAGATTCTTTCTTAGTTTGTCATATATCATATATATAAGTGGCTGTTTTTGTAGGCTATTGCTATTTCTCTATGTGACGCTTCTAAGCGCTAGTCGGTGCTGTCGCTACTCACAGAAGCCATATAACCTATAATGTAACATAAAAATCGCTGGTGTCGCGTTACGAGCAGCGTGGGTTTTACTGTTATGGGCGATTATTTCTGAATCGCTTAAATGACAGATCTGCCAAAAAAAACAACATCGCGTCGATTTTAAACATTAACGCTCTTAGAAGACGACAGCAATGAGATTGCCGATTTTAGATCTTCAAAACTTCTGTTAATACGAATCAAAGCCCCGTTTAACCAAACCCTTTTTACCGCTTGGTAAAGGCTTATTTTCCTTTAGTTTTAGTAATAATAATAATAGCCGAATTCCTGCTGCTATACCCTAATGTACTGCCTATAGATTAATAATTTGAAATTATATGACAAACACGTAAATAACAACAGATGATTTAAAAGACAGAATTATGTTGATATACGGTATAGCCTAAGTTAGTGGCAGTTCAGGTTTTGTAAGATCAAAATACAAAACGGGAAACTATAACTTTCCAAAACATTTAAATACAATTTCATTAAATGGTTTATTAATAGAATTTTAATTAACCTATAGGGGCGCTATAGGGAAAAAAATCTAAAGGAACCGCGCGCCGGGTGGCGTCTGACTGACGAGAGCTTTGCCCGTCTCTTTTCAGGTGTTCACCATGAGGAAAGGCTTGGTTCTGTGCCTTGCACTCATGATATTTTCAAACGCAGCCAGAAGCCAGGTCAAAAAAAAGAAAGGGCAAAAAGAAAACCGCCTCAAAGATGAAGGAAAGGGTAAGACACCCCTGTTGCGGTACACTGACTGCCAGGGCCGGTGGGCGCATTAGGTGGCCACCGAGGGCGCCATATTCCGAGGGAGCGCCGACTATTACTGAGGGGTGAACCTTGCGTAGAGCTCCGCGTGGGCTTTGACTGGCACTGCTGATTGCACAAGTACCATAAACACCCAGAATTCTTTTGTAAAACAAAATAGTTACAACTCTCCTTGGCAAACCAACACTAAAGCCAAACACTGTAGCTCATATATCTTTTTGCATGATAATATGAAGGCCGTTCATTAGCGTTAGCTTAGACTCTCTCCACATTGATGGTGCCAAACACAAACTCAAGCCCTAAACCAAGTGGAATTATGTGAAGCATCTATGTTGTACCCTCTGACTTCCTGTACGGATCCCTGACATCTCCTTCGTGTTTGATATCCACCTTTCAGAGGCGACGTGTCAATTGGAGATCGCGTTTCTCCTGGACAGCTCCGAGAGCGCCAAGACCGTGCTGTTCCAGAAGCAGAGGGAGTTCGTCCGCAGCCTGGCGAAGCAGATCATGCAGATGAAGTTGCACAACCAGGACCTGAAGATCCGCATGGCCCTCTTGCAGTACAGCAGCACGGTCTCCATCGAGCAGCGATTCCGCGACTGGCAGAACCTGGAGGACTTCCAGGTCCGGCTGTGGACCATGGCGTACATCGGCCAGGGCACCTACTCGTCCTACGCCATCACCAATGCCACAGAGCTCTTTGTGTCGGAGACCAAACCCGACAGCCTGAGGGTGGCACTCCTCATGACGGATGGAGGTGACCACCCGCAGAACCCCAACACTGTGGGAGCTGCCAGTGAAGCGAAGAACCACAATGTCCGCCTGTTCGCCATCGGGCTGTCGGATAAGGCCCAGCAGGGCCTGAACAGTGCCAAGCTCCGCTCCATTGCTAGTTCCCCGCCCCAGCAGCACTTCTTCAGCCTGACAGACAGCCTGCTGGAGAAGAAGATTCTCAACGAGCTGGTGTGGCCCCTCCTCTCATTATAATATTAGCTTTCTGTTAATTAGTTTATCCTGTCAAAATCATTGGTAGCAATTCAAACATATTCGTTTCATTAATGCATTATAATATGTATAATATCGTCGCAGTCCGAAGAAAATTGTGTATGTCCACTTAACAATTACGAATTCTCCGCTGTCTACTGATTAGCTTTGATATCTTATTGACCAATGATATTAGATGTTTTGTGAAGTCGTGTATTTAATGAGTATTCATGTTATTAACATATTTGGTTTCAATTCGCTTTCATTACGGCATCAGTCCAGATTGCAGGACTGTTTTCCCCACATGTCTGTGTATTATGAAGTTAAGTAGAATCAATAAGGGGGTTGTCTCCGTCTGTAGAGCAATGCAGGCATTTTCCACTAAAACTCCAGATCTGATATCAGACAATGAAATAATTGTATCACGTCTTAAAGATATGAACATATCGTTCCATCTCATTTTTCCAAGAGTGGAAATTAGATATAGATATATGTAGTTACATATTTGACTCTCTGATACCGTAAATATATTAATACAGGTCAACGAAAATCATTGCCCACCTTTTTGTTGATGATCACTACAGTGATTTCTATACATTTACTTGTTTTTATTTATTTTCATCTCTTTCAGAATAAGACTTCCGCAGAGGGAGTAAGTGCAGCAGCATGTCATTTGCAGATCATTCCGTTAATATTCTGTGATGGGAGTAGGGCAGAGAGTAAATTGGATGGTGGAGATAGAAGGTTTTGCTGTCTGGGACTGTGTGAGGGATTCAATTAACAACCAAATACCTTAATATTGCAGCATAGTTTTCATCCTGTGTTTCAAGTTTATGTGAATCAAAATATCTGATAATAGTCTGCCAGAAGAACTGGATGGAGGCTTAATGCTCATTCTGTTCAGGTCATGGACACTGGCTTAGTGATGGGCAAATGAAGCTTCATGAACCATTTGCTGTATTTTTTGGTCTCACTAGATGGTGCTCTCTGTCCATAAAAGGGCCCAAAGCAAATCGTTCATGAAGCGTCATCTGCACTGGCTCACACTTTGCTGTGTTTCAGTGCCAGCCAAAGGTCTGCTTGTGCGACAAAGGAGAGAGAGGCCCTGCTGGAATCATGGTAAGGATGCTGCAGCGTCTTCCTCCACTCTGTCAACCACAGTGGGTGCCAAGGATGCTGTGGGAGGAGCCTAGAGTAGCTTGATATAGAAAAGTAATTTTTCAGGGTGACTGAGACTAGAGTTTAGAAACCTTGGCATAATACAATGAAATCTAAAGCTGTCATCTTCTCCGGACAAAAATTAGATTAGGACATTAAGATCACATTGACTAACACACTACAGCAGAATGAAAGAATCAAGTCTAGTCAGCAATATACAGTAGCTTTCCACATTGTCTTGCTGCTAAGTTTAGGTTGCAATTTAATGGTGTGTCATACTCTGTGTGGCTGTTTAATGCTGTGCCATACTCTCTGTGGCTGTTTAATGCTGTGCCGTACTCTGTGTGGCTGTTTAATGCTGTGCCATACTCTCTGTGGCTGTTTAATGGTGTGCCGTACTCTCTGTGGCTGTTTAATGCTATGCCCTACTCTCTGTTGGTATTTAATGCTGTGCCATACTCTCTGTGGCTGTTTAATGCTATGCCCTACTCTCTGTTGGTATTTAATGCTGTGCCATACTCTCTGTGGCTGTAAAATGCTATGCCATACTCTCTGTGGCTGTAAAATGCTATGCCATACTCTCTGTGGCTGTAAAATGCTATGCCA